GGGAAAATTTAACCAAGTGAAAACTCATGAATTGATTCAACTCGAGCATTTTTTTAAGTAATGACCAATCTAACTAGCATTTGCTCATTCTTAGCTCATAAGATCTTAGTTAAGGCTTCCATGAACCAATCCATATTCTTCATATTAAGCTGAAACTGAATTATATAGAGGTTTGATAAAGGTTAAGGGTCATATCAACTTTTTAAGGATATTCTAGGGAGTGCTCCATCTATAGCCAGCAAATAGATCATACAAACCCACTCCACTACTTTGCAAGACTTGTTTCTTTATGAAATTCCTTAGCTACTCCTACATTATAGGGAAAAAAACTAAACTTGTCTTATAAAGAACCCCTTTGCCATGAGTTTGATTATTTCCTCTCAAATCACCAAACCTCCTTAAGCTTCCCCTCACCGCCCCTAGCAATCATAAAGGTTAGAATTAAAGTTGATTTCACAATATGAAAATGTCAATAAAATACTAGGCTCATTGAAGTAATGCTAGGGCTTGAATTCAGCATCAATTTTCTTTATCTCTACTAGATGAAGGTACTATACTAATAAACATAACAAGTAATGCCAGGGCTTTAGTCAATGTTTGTTCACCGTAAAAAACCACTTATATTCACGAAAACTTTCTATTTCCCCATAAGGGTTGACATTATTCACCACAAACTACTTTGATCATCTAAATCTATGCTTTTATAAAACTTTTGTCTTTACACAAATTCTCATTTTAGAATGTGTTTGTTATGACATTATTTGTTACTTCTTTTAAAAGGTTTAACATTTTAATATGAAGCATTTTGGAATCCATCCATCTCACTCAATTACAATAAACTTATATCACTTATCACTTGTATATTAAAATTCAATTTATTGATGTCCTAAAATGCTTTGTGGTATAGTTCTGCTTCCTAATGACAAGTATTCCCAAAAATTAAGCAAAAAAGATACATGTGTATAGGTGTATTATAGGCAGTATGAAATGCCCATAGTGCATATTGTACTTTTAGTGACAAATCTCTTATATTCTTTCCCACTATTTTCCCCAGAATCCATTTGAGCTCTTTATTGCAAATTTCAACATGGCCACTTATTGAAGCTTATAGTTGTTATACTCAGATGGCTCCAATCTCAACAGGTGATCAGTAATGACATTTTCTATCTCCTTTTTATTTATAATATCTAAATCAAACTCTTATATATCAGTACCCATCAAATCAACTGAGGCTTGGCATTTTTCTTTTCAATTAGGTACTTTATTGTGCATGATCTATGTATACTATCACTTTTGAACTTTTGAGATAGGCTCTAAACTTATTAAATGCAAAGACTATTGCTAACAATTCCATTAATGTTATTGTATGGTTCAATTAGTCATC